CTCTTTTACTCTCACAAATGTTCTCGTATCGTATTTAATAATTTTTTTTTTTATTTTTTAAACATAGTTATTGTTCTTGCTGCGGTGCTTATGCGAACAACATACTGAAAATTAACTTTTCAATAATAAATGAATGATTTTGTTTTTTTTTTTGTTTTCATGTAGTTTAATATATATGTCATATATTAGCTCTTAATGTAAATAATTACGTATGGACATGTAAAACTATATGCACACATACTCTCTTAGGTAAGCAATTAAATTATGATTCTTATAAAGATTGCTTGAGTGGTTGGATAGTTGCGTGGAATAAAGCGCATTTTAAGAAGCGATAAATCATTTGATCAAACGTTTTCTTTCGAATTTTTATGACGAATTTTCGCTTATGGTGGAAGTGATAAGTTGCATTTGGAAGTTTTTAATGTAGTTATATAAGCTATAACAAAACAGAACTTATGAGGGTGTCTAATGAAAATGTCTATAACCGTAACGCTATGAACTGCATGTAGGCCTAACCGCTTTGACCATACCTTTTAATGGCAAAATGTAATAAAAGCTTTCAAGTTTTGAAAGTATTGTAAGCATTTGGAAGCATTAGTCGAGAAGAGTTTAATTTATTTGCCGACTATTTTTTCATTGGATGATAGTCATGAAGCAGGTTTTACTTACTTTTTTGAAAATATTACTATAGAAGTAATTTCACAGGCTTTTTCTTATATTTAATCGACTTGTTCGAAATGTCAGTTATGATAAATTTTGAAATAATGGTTACAAGTATAGAGTTAATAAAAATTTTAAGCATTTTCATTTCTGAAAATCAATAATTTATATAATTGTGTTATGCACTAGATTCGTAATAATATGGTGCTTGACATTAACTTACTCAAATTTTTTTACTCTATTCAATATATCAAATATTTATTGACAGCTTGGGTAGCTCCCAGCAACGTTAATAAAAATTTATTGTGATTGTAGCATTTATTAATTAATAAAATTTAATTTTAACATTTTTATATACTCTTTTATAATCTATGTAGAATTAGATTGTGTTGTAAGCAGCCATGTAGGTGAGCAGCCATAAACAAAAGCTCTAACTAACCATCGACTTTAGCTTATTTTACAATTAAAAGGTCGATAGCCGAAGGAGATTAATAGTATAACCAGTAATATTACATTTGCATTTTCTTTTTTTTTTTGGTTTTGGGTTTATAAGACACGATTACCTATTTGATGCGTTTTTAGATTATTATTTGCTTCACCCATCAAGGATCATTTCGTCAAAACGTTTGCAAAGGGGCTGAAGGAAGGATCAGAGACCCCACAAAGTTTATATGTTCTTGATCAGTATTAAATTCTGAATCGAATTAAGCATGCACGTCTGTCCGTCTGCTCGTCCGTCCCTCTCTGTAATGTCTGTTGTAAACATTCTTCTCACTGCAAAAATGAAGCTATCGATTGAAAATTTGCAAAAACATTGCAAGTTCTTGCATGCGGTTTGGTATTGAAAACGAGCTAAATCGGTCGCAGAAAACGGCGACAGTGAGAACACGTCTTTTATTCGTAAAACTAATAAAATACGGCTTTTCTGCTTATTACTGATAAACGACAACAGATAAACATACAAAAATTTGAACATAAATTCAATAGACTATTTTATAGACGTCTACGCAAATGTCAAGAATCATCCACGCCTACTGAATTTTAAGGTGCCTCTTAATTTTCAGCTTTGCAAAACTTTTATTTATAAAGCATGGAAGCTTCGAATATTCCTTGAAGTATATAAATTCTTGGAATGCACATAAGCATGTCCGCCCTTTCGCTTGTCTATTTGCCCTTCTCTGTGATAAACATTTTCTCATTCGCAAAAATGAAGATGTCACCTCGTAAATGAATTTGTAAAAGAAAACTTTTCAAAGAACGTGCCTGTGACACCAACACATCTATGTAACAAAACCAGTGAACACTTTCGATTTCCAAGTTTTTCGCTTGTTACTCATAAAGTGCAACACAAGTACGTCATTCAAATTTCCACTTTTATTTTGAAAATAGAAAAAGTCGCCCCACGCCCACCCAATCTAATAGAGCATGAAGAGTTAGTTCTTATCCTTTCTTTAGAATCACGGTGATGAGAATAAAAGATTTGGTCGCGACCCAATATAATTTTCTTACTTGCTTTATTTCGCTTAATTTATACAATAAATTTGTCCATATATCGTTGATGCAAAATAATAAAAAGTATGTTATAGAAGATACGAGGCGGCCTGAAGTTATCCTGTTCTTTTTTTTTCAAATTCGAAACTATACGCTTGATACGGTGGATTAACGTTGGGCTGGCAGACAGTTTGTCTGTTTTATTTTGTTTGTTGGATATGGTTCACCTGTTTCCATCTATGGACGGAAGATCCCTTTGAATTTTGTATATTCTTAAGTACCATAATTGATAGAATTCCATGTGGCTCGATTCGTCTGTCTGTCTGATTGATAGTTTACGAATGCGACTTTAAAATAAAAAAATTAACAAAATGTGATTTTTGGCAAATTTCGGAAAGTTCGCTTCACAATTAGCAAAACGTAATGGTATTTATTTCATTTTTCTTACATTATGGCCGTCAAACATTATTGAAACTCTTAAAGCTTGGCCTATAAATTTTCATTACTCTTATTATTGTCACATGCAAATCAACCATAGTCATGTATACAAAAAAAAAAAAAAAAAAAAAAAAATGCTAGCTGTGGTAAACATTGTTTTTAGCTTCTACAGGCAGATCACATAAGATCATGATTTGAAATATATACGATACGAGATAAAAAACATAAGCACTAAATACGTGTTCTTCTCTTCTTATAGTAGGTAAGTACATGCAAATGGAAAAAGTGCCTTTGATCTTCTACAGTTGGGGAGAAATATCACGAAAAAGGGAGATTTGGTAGAAATATATCTGCATTCTTTATATTAAAAGATGGAGATATTTTCAAACTCGCTTTCGCGCTTAATAAGATGGAAGCTCCTATCATTCTTCATTTGGTTATTGAAAGTAAAGTCTGTTTTGATAATTGGTTTTGTAATAGCACATCATAAACTTATGCATGTCTGAACATTTAAATTCCTATCAGATTTTCTAACAATAATTTAACGCTTCATTGCGGCTACTCATTCCTTTGGGGAAGTTAATAAAGTTAACAGTTAAAAACTATAATTATTCTAATAAACAAAAAACTTGCTTTACAATTTCGCTATAGATTTATATGTTCATAAACCTCAGTAATTCATAAATATTTGCTCTTAAATTTCATATATTCTCCATAAAATGTGTCAGGTGACTATAACAGAATATCGAGAATTTGAAGTGTTTAAGTATTTGTTTTTTTTTTTTTTTTTATCAAAACTTCCTAATTTATTATACAAACTAATTTCAAATTTAAAAAAAAATATATATCATGATAATTAAATGATCACGTTTTATTTCTATTGTTGAGTAAATAAAACCATCACATTTTTTTTAAATGATGATTACTTTGACAAGCTTTTTCATTTTTATATGAGAGAATATATATACAAAAAGCAAAAACAGCTACATTAACTCCACCTCAAAAAAAAAAAAACCATAAATGCAATATTAATAACAAGGATAATATATACGCTACGCGGTTAAAACATAAGAAAAAACGGTAACAACACAACCACTAACCGCCTTGTGAGTTAGCAAAACCAATGTTTCTCAGAAAATTGATATGAATTAATATAAATAGAAAATGTGAGAGCATGATGACTCTCAATTTTCAACTTTAACTTCACTTTTATGGCGCAAATGCCAAGAAAAAGGAAGACAACTCTACTTGCAGAGAATTTCATAATGTTAAATAATTCTCAGAGAGTTGTTACGAGAGAGGGAGAGCTAAGCTAAGTTAAGAAATCTTCTTAATTGAGTTGTTGTCTAAAAGAACACACACAACAAGACACTCTTTTCGTACCTCTTGCTTCGTAACAAAGAGAGATAAATATATATGAAAATTTTAAAGAATATAGAGACCACACCTCTTGAAATAATATTCTATCTCTTTCGTTGGCATTCGCTTAAGTGATAAAAAGAGATCTTCATATACGCTTTGAAATGTGTATAAATTAAATGAGAACTGTCAGCTCTTTTTAATAGAGTCATAAGCTGCTTTAACAAGCTCTGAGTCTTTGTTGTATGTTTGTGCCAATGTGTTCTTTTTTTTTTGTTTTGTTTTTTTTGTTTTTAAGCAACGGTGGCTTTGCGGAAAAAAGAAGACAAAATATTATATTGATGAAGGTTGTTGTGCTAGTATTGCCGTATTTTGTGTATGTTTAGAAACTGCTCTTGCGTTGTACATGTATATTATAGGCAGAGACCATCACCATCATCTTCAAAGCTGCTAAACATCAAACTTGGTAAAACGTCTGCTGTCAGATTACAGGTGACATCTGTAAGTGTCACACACGACTAGCTTTGTGAACGGTATACTTTAACTTTCTCAATAAAGCAAATATCTCGCCTGTGTACATATATATATATATATATATATGAAAAATATATATGTAATGAAAAAAAACAAAAAAAAAATATATATATATATAAATCAAAATATTCATCATCAGAGCATCAAATGCTGAGATTGTCAACGTCGCACATTTCAGTTAGCCTCCTCCTTTTGACTACGGCTATTTAACGGATAGCAACAAATAATAAAACATCTCTTTCTTGCATAAGCAAGAGAAATGGTGTGAGTATGTGGTGGTTAGACGAGTGTGTTAACTTGTTGTAAATGTTAAACTACGGTGATTAGTTAATTTACTCGTTGACTTCATCGACTACGGACGTGTGTGCGTTTGTATATATCGAAGATTATGCATATATAGAGGAAAAAAAAAAATAAAAAAAACCAAATAAAACACTAAAATATTTTCTAAAAACAAAAAAAAAACAAAATTGAAATACATAACAACAAAAAAAGAATTTTCGAACGATCGCAAAATTTTCAAATTTCAATTGTGTGTATGTATTAGTGGTATTTAGAGTATAACAAAAAATATATATAAACCGTGTAAGAAAACTTATAACATTCGTTAGTGCTATAAACTAAGATTGCCCATGGCCTTAGAGGATCGCTGCAGCCCACAATCAGCACCAAGTCCGCCAGGCCTGCCGCACTCACCTCCAACACAAAGTTGTTCCGCACTACCCTCCAGGATTTTGGACATGAGTTTATCGCAAGCGGATACTGCTACGGCTGTCACAGCCACTATGTTGCCGCACACAGTGGCTGCTTCTTTATATCAGCAACAGCAATTGCAGCATTTGCAACAACTGCAACAATTACAGCAATTACATCAACAACAATTGGTTGCCGCCAGTGCTTTCCCTTTGCCTCATGCCAACTACGACATCGCCTTACACCAGCGCCTAAGTCTATCGCCCGGAACGCACTCAACTTCGTCGTCGACGCCAGCATCTACTATGACGATTAAAGAAGAAGAAAACGATTCTATAATGGGTGACAGTTTCAATGGCACCGACGATCATATAAACAATGCTAATAATGTCACCGAAGATGAGGATGACGATATCGACGTTGATGATGTGGAAGAGGAACGTTTACCACCGCCGGCTCATCAACAGTCCAGCAAACCTGCCCTGGCTTTTTCTATATCGAATATTTTGAGCGATCGCTTTGGCGGCAGTGAAACTAGCAACAATAATAAATCTTCTGAATCAGGTGTAGACGGGCAAACAACAAAGTCTCCGTTTGCTCCAAATCCGGCAAGCATTTTTCGTCCATTCGATCATGCTCGAGCGGCTACGGCTACACCATCCGCCTTCACACGCGTAGACCTTTTGGAATTCAGTCGACAACAACAAGCTGCAGCCGCTGCTGCTACAGCCGCAATGATGATCGAACGTGCCAATATATTAAATTGTTTTAATCCGGCAGCCTACCCGCGCATACATGAAGAAATATTGCAAAGCCGTATGCGACGTACTGGAGTTTTGCCACCTACTATAGCAAAGCCTACAGATGTCAGCAACGCAAGCAATCCGTGTTTGGAAAAATCCGCTTTGGGCTCTTTGTGTAAAACTGTATCACAAATTGGCCAAACATCTGTTAGCCAACCCGCCTCAACCAATTTAGCCATTAACAGCAGCAATGCCTCGACCATACCTTCAACCGCCTCATCAATTGCCAATTCTTCTATTTCTACCGCACCATCCCCATCGTTATGTTTAACGTTAGCCAAAGCCAGTCTCAATAGCCCACCAGCAACAGCAATAGCCAACAATAATAGCTCAAGCGTAAATTCATCACCTTCCGCTCGCTTGGTCACGAAAAGTATTAGCCCCCAGCCGATTACCGCACCATCGGCAATAAGCCGTGATTCAGGCATGGAATCCTCAGATGATACACGTTCCGAGACGGGCTCGACAACTAATTCGGAAACGAGTAAAAATGAAATGTGGCCCGCGTGGGTATTTTGTACCCGTTACAGTGATCGTCCTAGTTCGGGTAAGTGTACAAAGCATTCAGTTGCGTGTGTTTGTAAATTCAATTCGTTTTGTGTAAGAATAAAACTTCCGAGGAAAAATTGAGGAAAACAAAAGACATGACAATAAAAACAACGATTTAGCCGTTTGAAGAAGAAGAAGAAGAATACCATTTAAATGAAAATGTTGAGTGATAAAATAACCCGTTTGCCTCATCATATTTTCGTAGATTATTTTTGTAATCATTTGCTTTGGGGGCGCTATTCGTTACATATAGATTTCTTGCTTAAAGTGTTAATTGATATTTTAAGTGTTTTTTTATGGATTTAAATGGCTTTTTAAACAACCGTTGATAGTTTTTCCCTTGTAAGCAACTTTTTGTTTGGCATTTCATTAAAAAACGAAATTAAAAGAAAAAAAAAAGATCTAAAAAATGTATTTAAAATAAAAGAATGCGGTCTTAAAGTTTTCGAAAGATGAGTAACGAACTGCCCTCTTCTTTTAAGTAAAAATTGTTTTCACTTATTTTTCAATCATTTTATAGTTTTTCAATTACCCATAACCCATGTTCATCACTTGGAAACTTGTGCACTTAACTGTGCACAGTAGCTCAGAAATCATACATTGTTTTAAGGTCCGACGATGATTAAAGCTTAAAAGTGTAAAACGCTTATAACATTTTTATTGCTTTTGTTTTTTTTTTTTATTTTTTTTTTTTTTTATTACATATAGAAATTTGTTTATTAACGATGCTTAAAGTAAGTTCAACAAGTAACTAAATAGATTTGCTATGGAACGAATTTTGAGTACTCACTAAAGTTATCTTCTTCTTTAAAATTTTAATTAATATGGATTCCAATCTATTTACTATGAAAGTTTAAAAAATTATATTTTAGAGAATTTTTAGTTTTCAGCTGCGGTGGCTCTGTATGTCGGCATTAAACTCGCATTTACGATCCATTCATATATATGTATATATCTATCTCTTAATTTTCTATATAAATTGAAAAAATTTTGAGAACACTGATCAAAAAAAGAAATAGATAAACAAAATTAGATGGACGGACAAACACATACTCACATAAATATATATTTGATAAAATTTTCCGAATTTATATTTGCTTGTTACGTAAAGAATGTTAAGTTGAATTGATCTTCTTCTGGCATATATATAATGTTTTATATGTACGAACCGCTTATATCTTTGACTCTTTACCTCACTATTCACAAGAAGCAAATATTTAGATAAAACCTTAGATAGAAAAAACTAATCAGAAAATTGAATACTGAATCATAAAACTTCAGAACACTTTAAACGATACAAAGTAATTTATACTCAGTACGCGGTCAATTACATATGTCCACACAGAGTTGAGCGTATGTGGCATAGAGTTAATCTCTAATTTTGCCAAGGTATATCGCTTTGTAGCTATAAAATATTTGTAATTTTCTTTTTCATTGCCTATTTTTTATTACTACGCTTTGGGAAATTGAAAATATTTATCTAAGCAAATTCGCCCCCCGACCTACACAGGCAAATAATTTTCATGGCACTCTTTTTAAAAGCACAAGTTTTGCAACAAACATCATAAAAAAAAAGCAAACGAAGCAAAGTTCACCAATATATATATATATATATAGGTATAAATGGATTTTTAACATTCCGAAGAATATTTAGATTCGCAGAGTTGATAGACTCTTGCCAAAGACTTTTTAGAAATCCGCTTAACAAGTTGATCCACATAACGTTCGAGCCATACCTTTGAAAATCGTTTATCATCAATCATACTAGAAATGGGTTTTCGTCATCAATCTTCGTAAATTCGATAGGCAGTAAGACTCAATAATAGAGAGAAGATCTGAACGGTAAACAGGTAGATAGGAAAAAAAATAGCTATGAAGACGATTACACAGAGAGAGACGATTATATAGAGAGAAATTTGTTGAATAGCAAGACCTTGAAAAAGTAGTATAAATCTTTCCTTGACATAACTGAATTATTGGGACGCATATTAAAAGCATTTTGTTCTCAAAGTGTTACATTAAGTAAAGTTCAGTTTCTTCAAATCAAATTTTAAAGCAAACTGAATTTAGGAAAAAGTAGTTAAAAGATGGTTGTGTAATCGATACAAGTGATGGGAAATTTGAGATGATGAAAAGTTTTATTTTATTTATGTTTTGAGATGAATCTAATAACGCTTCGCTGCTTAGCATTGTATGACATTTGATATACAATACACTCACTCACTCACTCACTCACTCACTCACTCACTATATCGATACAACAATTTCTTCAACTATTTTTTCTAATCATACTCAAACTTATACACACACACACACACACACACACACACGCACAAGTAAACGCATAACATACGAATGTTTCACTTCTGAAATCGATTATCTTCACTTTTTCAATTTTTAAAAATTTTAATGTCAAAGCAATTGATTGTCTCCTAAAGGCAAATAAATAGTGAAGAGAAATTTCTCCAATAAGCAGCAGTAACAACAATAAATGATTTTTTTTTTTTTTTTTAGCCATTAAATAAAATTTAAAAAAAAAATTGTAACAAATCATTTAGTTAAAACACTTTCTACTATCGTTATTGAACACAGAGTGTAGTAAAAAGAAGTAAATAAATAATTTTATCGCTTTTCACTGATTTTATGGAGTTAATCGATTTGGCAAATGAGGCAAATAACAAAGCGTAGAAATGTTGAAAACAAACAAATACTTTTCATAGTCTATTTTAGCTTAGCATACCTTCGAAATTCCCTCTTATGCTTTCCCTTGTCTTTTATAAATCGTTTAAGAAACGAATTGTTTTGTTCTATCTCGCCTCAAGTTCAAGCGTCCACTAAACGAATTTAAAAGTTCGATTATGATAAGCACACATCTATGCTTATACTTTGCCTTATATGACGGAAAACTCAAATTTCTTTTGTAATAATTTCTGCTTTATCTCACTTCCATACGCTTCGTGTATATCAGCTTTATGCTGTTGTAACAATATGTCGGCTTAAAATGCCCGCTATACGCTTAGTTGAGAAATTCAAAGAACGATATCTACGAAGCCATAAAAAATATAGATTTTTACAAAGTTCGTCATCTGTGCACATCTTTTATATGAACACCAGCCAGAAAGCTTTTCAGTTGATCTGTCAGCTAATTAGCAGCAATTTAATCAGATTGAGTTAGTATTACGTTTTAAACTGTAGTGATTAAATTATGTCAACTCGGACTAGTTTGAATGATAATCTTGAAGAAATGATAATTTTTCCTAATGGATAACCAACAGTAGCTTTAGAACAATATTGGCACAGTATTGAACGCTTCTAAGGAGGAAATCGAATTCGAAAGAATTATGACCTGGAAAAGAATAAGCATTTGGGGTTAAGCATTTTTAACTCCCATTCAGTCTTTTTCCCATAAATTAGTCAGGTTACTTTACTAAGATTTCGATCAAAGTCGGGATAACGCAAATTCTCAGCAGCTGAGTTAAAGTCACTGAGAAAAGTCATTGCAGAAATTGCTGGGAATGCATAAAACACTTCGTTGAATTGTCTTTGAGTTTAGCTGGAAAGCAAAAATCTTAAACTTAAAGGAGGAACGAAGTGAAGTCTTCATCTGTCATAAAAACGGACTCTGCGACACTAGTTTTTCCATTAGTAGTGAAAGGCTTTTTTTGAAGCGCATGCACATGAGTCATAAAAGTGTGTTTAATTAAATTAAATCGGTCCAAGATATGGTGTATATTCACGTTTCCCTAACCGAGAGCGTACAAAACACCTTTTCGTGCTTGGAATTGGTGTAGTTCTCCGTGCCAAAAAAAAGCCATTTTGGGAAACTTTCCTCTTGCTGCTGAAGCTAAAATAACCAGAGAGAGAGAGACATAGAGGAGGCGAAGCGTTAACGTCGACGATAAGCCTGACTGTCCATGGCGCCTTTTATTGAACAGGTGGAGTGGTGGTGATGTTATATTAAGGGGTATTCCAAAGAAAAGAAATGAAATAAAAATCATGATGCCATGAATTTTCAGTGTAAAGAATTTCGGCCTCAGATAGAAAAACTCGCTCAGAAAATGTTTGCCTGGAATCTCCTACTCTCCATGCTGTTATCAGCAGATGCTACTTTCCCGATTAGCACTGGTCTAGATGGATGATCCATATTCATCTATTTATTTTATTTTCAAACCACTCTTAAGACGACACTAAATATGGGCCATTTTGTGGATAGCCTTAAAGAAACAGTTATGTTGTGTATCACTCTCAACTCATAGACTGCATAAAAGATGAGAGAGGTAGCAGACGTAGCCGTTGCTAAATTAATTCTTAGCATTTTCTTTTAGTACCCCGTTCAATTTCGCTAAATATTCGGCGGATCCTATTCGCACACCTAATATCATATACACGTTATTCGTTTTTCTGAATCGCTAACTAAACTTCACACATTTGCTAAGCGATTTATCTAGTAATAGTTAATTAAATCAATGCATCCGTTAATGATAAAATACACACACATATACATATATATATATATATATATATATATGGTTTTAAATGAAAAGCAGACATATCATACTCTTATTGTATTCACTTTAAACTTAATCGAATAATTATAAATATACCTACATATATATATATATATATAAACATATACTCATACTATACTAGAACGGATTCGATTGCTTGTTACTTGAGTCTTTTTATGTTTAATGTTTCTACGTTAATAAGTTGACACCTGTCCTTCCATTAAAATGGCGGCACTTTTTCTATTGAACGTTTAATAAACTAATCATTATTTAATAATGAAAAATGAATGTATGCGCATAAAAGACAAACATATGTCAATGTTTATTAAATGGTTAGAGTTATTAACGTTTAAATAATAAAGCCGCTTACCGAGAAGTACATTGTACATATTTCTATGTAAACTGTTAAAATACTCATTAAAATTGCAAACAGGTTTTCATTTTCAATCGTTTTGCATGGTTCTACGGTTTAAACACAACATATATATATATATATGTATATATACGTGTATGACAATAAAACAATTAATGAAATATTTCTTCGCAATAAACGTAGATAGATATACAACAATAAAAAAAACAACAACTACAACAAAAAATTTATTTTCTTTTTCACATTTATTATGGATTACAGGACCACGTTACCGACGACCAAAACAACCCAAAGACAAGAATTCCGATGAGAAACGACCACGTACTGCCTTTTCCAGTGAACAGTTGGCGCGTTTAAAGGTAAGTTACAGTCTCCTCAGCATTAGGAGGCAATTCTCTAGCGCTAACATATTGCCCTTCACTCGCAATTCGTATTTGAACTTGATATGTTTTTCTTCACTTCACCTTTTTTGTTGTTGCTTTACTCTGTTTAACTTACGCACATATATATTTTCGCCTATATACGCATAGTATATCTGATCATTTGTCTCGGTTTTGATGAACATAACGAATTGGAAATTTATGTTTTTTTTTTTTACTTTGACTTAAGGTAATGCTTCGTTGTAATGCTTGAAGCGTTAAGCAATTTGTTGGTTAATATTTGCTTGCATTCAATGTTTAGTAAATATTTATATCTCTTGTACTATATACCACCCAGAGATAAGGGCAATGAAAGGGAATTTTTAGTTTAAATATTTCAAATCCTACGACCTTTGTCCTCAAACCGCAACTATGAACGAACGAACGCACGCTTGCTTGCTTGACATTGCCATCGCTTTTACTTTCCTTTTTATTAGTTACGCTCTTAGCATTTTCTTGGCTTAGTCTAAACGCTGATCATACTTTTTCATTTTTTCCTTTTTTTCAGCGTGAATTCAATGAGAATCGTTATCTAACTGAACGTAGACGTCAACAATTAAGTTCTGAATTGGGCTTAAATGAGGCGCAAATAAAAATTTGGTTCCAAAATAAACGGGCGAAAATTAAAAAATCGACTGGAACGAAAAATCCTTTAGCTTTACAACTAATGGCTCAGGGTTTATACAATCATACTACGGTGCCATTAACTAAGGAAGAAGAAGAATTGGAAATGCGTATGAATGGGCAAATACCGTAAACTCTCTCTCTCTCTTTTCAAGTATACGCTTGCTCTCTCGAAATCTACTCGTTATCTCTCTATCATCAGTGCAATATATATGTTTGTAGGTATGTCGGCAGAATAATATTAAACTGCAATATAAATAATTTTTTTTTTTCTACACTTTTCGCATAAAATATCTATCGTAAGTAAATATGATAAGCAAAAAAAAAAAAAAAAAAAAAAAAAAAAAAAAAAGGATATTTGTTAATATCTTAAAATATTTTTTTTTGATATTTATATATATAATTATTATATAAATTATTATATTTAAAAAAAAAAAAAAATTTACGAGAAATGCAAACGATTTCGATTTCTTAAGTTTTTTTTCTTTGTTTTTCTTTAAATGAATTTCTTTGATTACGTTTATGTGCATGTGCGTACACATTTTTATACATCGTTCATCGCTTATTATAGATATTCAACAACAGCACTTGATGCACTCATGTTGCATTCATCCAAACCAGGTAACACAATGAAGAAATTGTATTCGACTTCAATGTACATTTATGAAAGCCGAATTTAGAGGCAGCGTAGGGATCCATATAGTTAATCATGTTTCAAAATTTTAGTTAAAAGGCATAGCATTAAAATGCGTTCCCTATCCCTGTCAAGTGTTTATCAATTACTCACTTTCTTATGATGTAGTTAGCTATAGCGGTACTTAAAGCTACCTAACACTGACTCTCTTTAATCAAAAATCCAAGCACCATTTCACTGGGTACCGCTTCAATAAACACGTACTTTAACAGCTTACAGAAAATAGTCTCTTGGTATACAAAAATACTCGATTATTCGATTATAGTTGCAGTTGGATGTATCCGAAGTAAAATGACTGGTTATTCATTACCCTATCGCGATTACAAAACGGTACGAATTGTGCGAATTTTTGCATATAAATAACGTGCAACTAAAGTGGACTCATTACATCATTTACTAGGCTTAGTTCAAAGGGCAAGTAGTGAAAAAAGGATTTGTAACAGATAACACCGAAGTTGTTGTTATTTTGAAAAATCTCATGCGAGTTTATTAGTGCGAATTCGATACCGCGTTTAAAATCTTGGGCGAAAAATTGTGCAAAAAGTCTTAGGCCTATGTATATGCATTTGCCGATAACAGGATTAAGATTCCTTTACAAAAAATGGTATAGAATCTATTAAGTTTGTGCGGACGTATGTAACAATCATCGATTCAGAATCATTTTCCCATTTAATCTAAGCTCGTCTGTGCGTCTATACGGCTGATGTCTGACCGTGTATATGTGCGTTCAACTTACAGGTCTCCACTTTTCAGATGTTTTGATGAAATTTGATACACTGACGTATCTTGCAATAAGGAAAATTCGGACCTTTCGCGCTCTGTACAGCATGTCTTGGACATTTTAAGTTGATGTGGAAAATTTGGTTGGGCTGGGGCAATTTTTTAAACCTTCTCTTATATCTTATATCATTCATACGAAAGCTGAATCTTTATATAGTAAAAAGTGCAAAATTAGTTCGTAGTTGTGAAATAACAAAGAAATCAACCTAACCGAATCGGGCCCACATATACGATCTATTTCTTAACTACCATCGCCTATAAGAATCCTCAGAAAATGGAACCCTCGATATGAAAATTAAGTGGAGCAAGTTTGAACCGCATGGATCTTTTTCGTGGATCACACTCCCTTTAAGGTGTTTCAGGAATAGTAATAAACCCTTTAGAAAAAGACTCTAATTTCTAATATTTAATGATAAAAATTGATCCATAGCAGTAATCTCGAACAAAAATGAAGGGTAGGAAATTTGGATCATATAGGTCCACTTTTTGGGATCCCATCATGTACAAAGGTTACAATGAAAAGCAAGCAAAGCAAACTCAAGAGAAAGTCGTTTTTCTTGTTTTTTATGACGGGCGCTGAAATATAATATAATTCTTACGAAGTAAAGCAATTTTGCTAAATTTGAATCACGTCATGTGGATGATATTTTGAGCATCGCAGACTTTCACGAAAAGCACGACTTTGTGTAATATTTCCGAACTGAGTGAATAACTGCACTAGCCGAAGTGGTGTAGGATATCTAATGGTCGGCCTTGTCCCATTATAACATTTTCACTTGCTATATTTAAAATAATTTCAAATAATTTGATTTATAGATCGCAGGATCAACAGCCATTTTCCGTATCATTGCAATCTTACGCGGGTTTGTCATTCCGAATGTAAAATTCCGTAGCATGCACGGAACATATATATTCTTAATTAACTTTAGTCATATCTCTTAGTGCGTATGTCTGCGCTTAGACATTAATTTATTGGAGTTTTCGCCGAAACTATGTCTACATTTCATTTCTCCACATGCGGTCACATATCAGTTTGTAAACATGTGTGATCCGTCTCCTAGGTGCAATATCAGAATTATTTACAAAAGAAAGAAAGTAACGATAAGCACTTTGCTACCCACTAGGGAACGTTGAGTGGTAATTGTTCTCTGTAAAATGACATTTCGCATAAGGGATATGTTCTTGCAGTCATCATCTTTCTTTTTCATTTGCTTATCCGTCTGGAGTGAATAATTTTTGTGCATTTTCGTGCACTTTCTCAACAGATTTGATTGAAACTGAATACAATTTCTTTTCTGGGTTATCTATATATCTAAAATTTTAAGACTTTTGCATACATACACGTGATCAGTGAAATATATTTAATATAAAAAATATATAATATATAGGTATAAAGTTAGATATATAGGTATTTATACAGATGTATCATAATCGTGGCAGCTGTAATTACTTGAAAATGTTCAAATTGTTTAAATAGTTTTTATTAAATTTCATATTATTATTAATAGCATATGTACACTCTTAACGATATAAAAAACATTATTACATAATAATAATAATAATAATAATAATAACAGTAAAATAGCAGTAATGTTAAACTAATGTTATATAATATTAAGGAGGAAATCATTATAAAGAAATAGTTATAATAAAAATCAATTACATGTAAAGAAAAAAAAAAAAAATACCAAATATTTAGCAAATTATCAAAATTCCATAAATCTTTTATTTTAAATATTGAAAGAAAAAAAGGTAAAATTACTTTACACACATTTTTCTAAAGTCGGAAACGATATGTAGTCGAATGGAAATGAAATCGAAAACTACAAGGCATCTAAGCTGAATGTAGTTACAAAGTATTGCCTGTTTTACGAATTCCCCGAACTCATTCAACGACTTGCCATCCATCCACGAGCTTATTCTTTAACTTTCCAAAAATACTTGTGGTTCAAGTCGTGTGAATGGTAAGTTTGTTCAAAAGCGTATGAAGAATAATTAGACAGACAACATTACACTTTGCTCAGTACAGCACATACTTGGCCCCCTTTGATGCGGTTTTCATAGTAAATACAAAACTTTGGTATTTGTACCGAAACCACTAGAGTTGATAGTTCTTTCAAGCATTCTCTCAAGGTAAATATACGAATTTTGATGAATTATAACCGTAAAGTCACACAAAAATCTGATAACTGAGAGCATGTTCCTTGGATGGGTTCAGTAAGGTAAGTTTGGAAGAAGCTGCTGTTATTGTAATAAATGAATCTAAAGTGGATGCGAGCAGCAACAAAGTTCTCAGTTCGTTCAGTGTGCCTCAAGTTAGGGCTTTCTTCGCGGTTGCTTTGCTCTATGCCATTTGCTTCTATGCAACAGTGGAAGCAAAACTGATCGAAGCTTCACAATAATTAATGATTTATTATGATTTGTTGTGATTTTGTTACAATTTTCACTATCAAAACAAGTTGATTAATGCAATGATTATTCTCAAGCGCACTCACCACGTCTCCGCTTTACGAATAAGTTCATGGCAAATGTTAGGATACTTATGAAAAACCCGGCTAAACATGATCGAAAAATTTCTCAACGGATTACTGGCGAAAATAGGTGATTTATATATGTATGCGAATTATAAATGGCGAAATGAACTTTTAAGAAATGTGCACTGGAAGCAAGCTCACAACAATACGAAGTCTCTAGCCGACGGTGAGAAGTTGCTGAGCTATAAAATCGCCAGATGAATTCCTAAAATCCGTAAGAATTTTTGCGATAAAAAAATATTCGGTATGCGGAGAGTGTTTGAGTTTTCTCTTTGCGGCACGTAAATGCTTTTTAGCTTTTTTTGACACCTGATCTTGATTAAGAATCTGGGAAATCTAAACTAATCGCAAATGGACCCGCTTAACTTTACAATGTAATAGTAATGTAAAGGAGTTTGAATAACGGTATTTTCTTTTTTTAAGTTGACTAACTATGTGGTCAGAGATCGATTAAAGGCAGAGATTTTTAAGGATGAATGCTATTCATTTTCCGAGTGAATTTAAAAATAATCTCAACGTCAATGCTCATGAAAATTAATACTTAACCAGTCAACTGGCGTCAGTTTCTGCGGAATAAAAAATTCCGAGATGACATAAAACCTCAAAATTTCATCATTGGGTACCAATAAGTCTGAAAAAAGAAAACTAATTGAATTCTTTGGAGTAGAGGTGATCCGTGTATGTATAGTAAGAAAACTGACGGTAGTCTTTCCTGATGGCGGTGTGAACAGAAGCGATATAATAATTGCTTTACATAACCTTGCAACACAACGGATGAAGAGATATTACAAAGTAAATATATCCTTACGTGCTTGAGCTTGGCGTTTGATCTCCTACATATTATAAATATATATATATATGAATATAAATTTTTTTTTTTTTATTTCTTCTCTTTATGAATTTTATTATTTTTTAGCAACTTTTAAACTATTAATAACAATAAATTTTTGTTAATTTTTTATATAATAAAAGGGAAATATCATTCGCTTTACTTTGATTTTTTCGTAAAATTCATAGTCCGACCGTTCCACTCGATCCAATGCAGGGACTGTCTGATGGATTTTTAAAGCATAAATTACGCAATTAACTGGTTAATACAATTAGTTTTACATTTAAAAACTTAATAATTTCTTTCCAATCATCTACAAATTAGTTAATGTATTCTAAATTCTTTTTGAGCAAAATTTTTTGCTTCGAATTTGTTAAAAAAAAAATTTTTTTCAAAAAATTTGCATTTTTTTTTTTTTTTTG